CCCCCGACACGGAAATGTCACACTGAGGTCCCCCCAGCCCGGGGGTGTCACACCGAGGGCCCCCCATACGGGGATGTGCCACCGACGTCCCCCTGGCCTCTCTGAGGGCCCGGCCCGAGGGTCCCGCGCGGGCGCGGCGGTTCCGCGGCTCACAGCGCCCTCTGCTGCCCGCCCGCCGCATCCGCAGCGCCGGGAGGTGCGGAGGGAACGGGAGGCGCGGGAGGAGAACCGGAGGTGCAGAGGGGAAGGGCGGTTTAGGGCCGGCCCTGCAAAGAGGAAGCTGCAATTCCATGATCAATATTCCCAGAAAAAGGGGACTCTGGGAGCCGTGGCTCGTGGCATTATAAGGAGTAGCAGAACTGCAACTACACCAACTTCAGCCAAGAGCATCTTGGTCATAAAAGGGAAAAAAACCAAAAACAAACCCAGCACATGTACAGTTTAATTCAGAGATGACAAAAAATCTTTTATTCTTACCCCAACAACTAATTTTGGTAATGTAACCGCTCCTACCCCCACAATCCCAAAAACAAGGCCTTTATTTTTGAATGGAAAACATTCATATGAAATGCAGAGGCAGTTTTAGATTGGAAAGAAAGAAAGAACAAAGGCAATATCCTCAGTTTTCCACTATGAACCCTTCTGGGTTGATATTTCCCAATGTTTTCCCCCCATCATTTCAGCCAAACTCTTGGCTCAGGTTGACAGAGAACATGAATTTCGTCCTCCACCAAATACTCTCCTGCTTGGTACCAGCCCAACACCTCACAGGTGCACTGGGGTCACAGGCCCAGAACCAAGAAATGAGGAGTCCTCCTCCAGTCCCAGCACCTGCCCTGTACCCCAAGGCATGGGTGACACTGCTGCTTGCACTGCTGCTGCTTGCAGGGGTTTGGGGGCTGTTCCTGCACTGTTCCCCTCTCCACCAAGCTGCTCACACCGTGGAGCCACCAGGGCTGCAGCACAGACTGGCAGAGCTTTGCTGGCACTCGCAGTGGGGCCACGTTTGCACCCTCACACATGTCCCTGTGGCTGTGCCACTCATCTCTCCTCCAGAAGGCAGGGGCCTCTGCAGCCTGCAAACCCCCAAAACTCCCACTGGGTACAAGAAAACGCTCTGCCCAAGAAAATAAATGTGTTCTGCACTCTCTCTGAGCTACCCACAGCAGAGCAAATACGGGCACAGCTGGCTCCCACCATGGCTTTGTTCCTTAGAAACGTCATTCCAGTCAAACCTCTCCTGGCACATCTGGCTGTCGTTGGATGGAGGAGAGAGACTCTCTCTGTCTGATTTGTAGCACTGCCAGCCCTGCACAGCCCTTGTCACCCAAGACATCCACAACCCAGATGGGGATCACACTGCTTCCACAGCCTTGGGAATGCTGTTCCCAGGAGGGTGCAGGGCTCAAGGCACCAAAGCACCTGCACCAGGTGTCCCCTGACAGCACCAAATAACAGAAGAGAGAGGCAGGCAGGAGGCAGAGGATGCAGACCCTGGCAGCTCAGTGCCCAGCCTCAGCAAGGGTGGGGATCAGGGCAGTGACAGTGACCCAGACAAGCCTCTCCCTTTGCAGATGCCAGAAGCACAGTTTGGCCTGTTCTAGCTGAGTTTGGGGACTGTGAGTAAAGAGTTTCTGGGTGCAGACTGGGCAGTCTTTGCAGACACTCAGTGTGGACTGATTACCTGAAGTGAGTTACAAAGGCTGGCCCAAAAGGCAATGAAACAAGTGACAGGTCAGAGGAGGAGCCAGGGCAATCCCCTGATTTGGAGCCACCTCAGGGGCTGCCATCAAGGCAGTGCCAGCAGCAGCACCAAGGACCTGGCAAGGCAGCCACAGGGTCTGCCTTGTGAAACAGCAAACACTGCCTCAGCACAAGGTCAGACATCATCCAGCTGACTCTGTTCCCCCTCACTGCATCCCACCAGGTGAAGCTTTCTCCTCATCCTCAAACAGACTGTCTGAGCTATCAGAGAAGAAATCCTCCACTTCCTCCTGCCTCATCTTGGACTCCAGAGCAGTGATGCGCTGCTTGAGCTTCATCTGGGCATCGTTGTACTCAGTCAGGAGCCGGCCCAAGCGGGTGTGCAGCGTGTCCAGGTTCGAGGCCACCCTGTCCAGTCTCTCCTCCACGCTCTTTCCTTCTGTGCTTTCCTCTGCAGCTGACTCATCCAGCAGCCCTTCCTTGATTAGGATCTCCCTGCCACGCTCCTCCAAGATCCTTTTGGCATCAGGGTACTCTGTGATTGCTTCCATGAGATCTTCCTTTGACAGGCAGAAGAGATCAGAGTAGCCCAAGCTGCGGATGTTGGCTGTGCGCCTGTTGCCCATTTTGCTCCCTTTGATGTTGAGGATGCTGATCTCACCAAAGCAGCCCCCTGCAGTGAGCAAAGCGTACTGTGTCATCCCATCATCCGCCACCACGGCCAGCTTGCCCTCCTTGATGATGTACATCTCCTTCCCGATGTCCCCTTTGCGGCACACATAATCCCCCGGGCTGAACACCTGAGGGCGAAGCTTCAGCACCAGCTCCACCAGCAGCCCTGCCTCGCAGTTCTGGAAAATCCTCACCTTCTTCAGTGTCTCCAGGTGAACGTTGATGGCAATCTCTGCCCTCAACTTATCAGGGAGGTTCTTGAGGACCTCCCGTTCGTCTACTGCCTTCTTGTTGGTCCACAGGTAGTCGAACCACTTGATGACTTTGGTTTCCAGGTCTTTGCTCACCTTGCGGAACTGCATGTAGTGCTTGATGGAATCGACTTTGGCCTGGAACTCCGCCCTGGTGGCGTTCATGTTGGATATCATGGAGCCCACGTTCCCCACGATGGTGGCGAAGATGAGGACGCCGATGAGGAAATCGAAGATCACAAAGAGGTACTCTTCATCCCGCACGGGGGGAGGCGTCTCCCCGATGGTGGTCAGAGTCAGCGTAGACCAGTAAAGGCAGTAGATGTACTCCCGGGTCAGAGAGCCGTACTCAGGGTCTGTGACATTGGGATAGACCCAGCTGTCCTCCCCGAAGCCTATGGCCTTGGAGATGGCATAGTAAATGCAGGCATTCCAGTGGATGATAATCAGGATGTAAAGAACCAAGTTGCTGATGCGGAAGATGTTGGGGTGGCTGGTTCTGGTCTCGGTCCTATCGAAGAACTCAAACATGCGGGAGAAGCGCAGCAGCCTGTTAAAACGCAGCTCGGGGCAGTGCAATCCCACCAAAAAATAGGCCAGGTCTGTGGGCAGGGTGGAGAGAACATCCAGCTTGAACTGGAGCGTGTGGATGTAGTTATCCCGTAACTTCTTCAGGTCCTTAACGAGGAGGCCCTGTTCCAAGAATCCTAAAGAGAAGCAAATTACAGGATTATCTTGGTTTAAGTTTGGCACCTCTTCAGGTTTTGTGAGCACCTGAGCAATAGTCTGTGATATGCATAAATACACAGGGTCACCCAAATATTACCAGTTCCTGCTCTACTCAGTTTGTTACCACTCGAGGCCTTCATCTGGCAAAAGCCACCCAAAGATATCACTCAGGGATTTAGTCCGTTGCCACAAGGAAAAAGGAACACAAAGGTTTCCATCCTCCAGATCATGAATTATTGCAGTTCTGACAGCAAACGTTCAGCCAAGTGCTGCCTTCCGAGAACATTAAATTCTACCATTTTTCCATGCAGATAATTCATTAGCTGAACTGATGCAAAATCAGAGATACAGACCTTCAACTACGCCTGAATACTAATAGTAATGCAGGTAATTTTGTACAATTATTCAAAGGTGAAGTTGAAAGCTGGGATGATTAATCTTTCATATTGAAACTTGCTCCATTTCTCAGATCTTCTAATTAGATTCTTTCTCTGGAGACTGCTTGGTACAAGTGAACGCCAAGGTAGGCAAAACCCTCCTTCTAATGGGACTGGATGGATTAGGCCTGTCCCTTGCAGCTCATCTCCACTTTTAAGGGATGAAAGGAAGGCCAGGATGCTGCTCCTGCTCACCTGTGTGCAGGCGGATCACTGTGTCCCCGAGGTAGAGAGCATCTGAGATGTAATCCAACACCAGCCACAGCACAAAATAGGTCTTTTGCAGGTCAGTGAAGCAAGCCCTGGAGGAAGGCCATCAAACAGGGTGTGAGGCCACAAATCCCCACACCTTCTCTAATTATTACAGTTTGATATAGGCTGATCCTGAGGTACCCAGCTCTGCAACAGAGCTTGGCCACTGGGCACGCTCCTCTTCTAGGAGTTAAAACTCCCTGCTCTGAAAAATCTGCCCTCCCTTGATGAAAGTAACACCTTGAAACTACCTCCCAAATGACCCTGCAACTACAGCCCTTTCCAGCTGGGCCAGAACTCACAGTGGAGGGTCTCTTTCAGTGCCCACCAGCCCCAGCACCATGAGTGTCAGCTTGGTCCTGGCTGAGCCACAACAACCAGGTGACCAGGAGGGTCAGAGGAGCCCCAAGAACCTCCCAGCTCACCTGGCTACGAGCAAGCACCAGTTATAGAGGACAGGAACTGCAATCACAGCCAGCCAGTGGTAATACCTGTCCCCCGCAGGGTCCACCACAAAGAACTGCCATTTCCTCCTGGAAGCAGAGAGAAGAGACAGAGCTGGCAGTGTCTGTGGAAAACAGGGTTGGAAGGAAGCATCAGAGCCACACCCTTCACCCCTTGCACCGCACTGCCTCGAACAGAGCTGCTTGGGTGCCAGTCAAAGCCAACCATTCCCAGCAGTGCCAAATGCCAGCACTGTTTAAGTTCCTTTATCCCTTAAACTGAGCCAGGAAAGCAGCAGAAGTGGAGTCTGTGGGATGGTGAGGAAAAGCAGGTGGCCCACATGACACAGCACCCCAGTGGCTGCAGAGCCAGGAACAGATGAATGGAAGAGGGTGATCAGAAAAGTTCTTGAGACGTGACATGACTTTGCTTCTCCCAGGTGAGGGAGGGAGCGGTGCCAGGCAGACCTGAGGAGGAGATTAAGTGGAGCAGGAAGGGAAGTGTGCTGCAGATCAGTGGCAGCACCAGGAGGGGCTGCCCAAGCCCCAGAGCAGCAGCCCTGGGGGCAGCTGGCATGGCAGGACTGTCTCCTGTGCCTCCTGCAGTCTGCACAGCCCGGGCTCCAGCCTTTGAACTGCTCCCAAGTGTTTGATCCTGCTCGTCTTGGGACTCTGAGATAAGAAGTGTGTGCTCCTGTTGCCAGATTCACTGGGGAAGAGAAACTCTGTGGCTGGGCTGATAGGCTTATAGCTGCTGCAGCCTGGTGGGGCAAAACACCCTCTCCCTCCTTCCTTCCCTCCCTCCCTCCCTCCAGCTTTTGAAGATGCAAAACTCCCTCCAGTGATAGGGGAAAAAAAACAACCCATTTGCCAACAGATTGCCCGTGCCCACCCCATTATTTTGGCAGCTTCAAAGGCAGAAGCCCTGCCTGGAAGTCTCTTTTCCCTGGAGTACAGGCAGTGCCTGGAGTGTGGGGACTGGCACTGGGCACAAAGCCAGCCCCAGTCCCTCATGTTCACCCTCCATGCACCCACAGACAAGTGCTGATCTGGCCTCCCCATTAAAAGGGTTTGTTTTTAACCAGAAAGTGCAAGTTGAACATTTGTTTTTCAAGAGAGGCACCCTGCTCCATAGGGCATACAGCACTGCATACGCACAGGGGAAGCTCTGACTCACCTGCAGCCAGCCCAGACAGCTGTAGCACCCACAGCCACTAATAACCTGTGAAGCTGTTAATGATGTTAGTAACTTCAGCTTTAAATCACCAGTGATGCCATGACAGTGGCCAGAATCACTGGTATTGCACTGAGAGCAGGGCCAGGGCTGGAAATACAGGGCTCTGGGTTAACCCAGGAAGAGGGAATAATCATCTGCCTCTTCCCAAAGGCTTTGCACTCAGGCCTGGAGCCGTGGAACCTGCCATGGCCATGGGCAGCAGCACACATGTGGGATTACCAGACTTGGGGCTCTTCTTACTTATGGAGCTGAGGACCCAGAAAACTCCAGAAGTTCCCCCTGTATCCCCAGAAGACACTGGCACTGAGCAGCCCTTTCACAGAACACTTCAGCTCCTTCTAGTCATGAACAAGCTCCCCTTAACCTCACAGTATTTTCTTCCAGATACAAGGCTCAGATTATTTTTCTCCTACATAAAACAATTATTTCTCGGTGTTTTAATTACCATGTATAATGGTAGGGTCCAGAGCAGTCTGTGAGCTTTGCCCTCTAATTAGCCAGCAGAAGAAAAGCCAGGTTATTGCTTCTCACCAGGAGTGTGAGCTGAGGAGATGAAAGGGCTGCATTTGAAAGAGCCTTTTCAGAAAGCTGCTCTTTGTGGGGACACAGGCAGCAAACACACTCCTTTCATCCCGAAGATGATGAATGAGGCTGGCAAATCCCACAGATTTGTGGCTCCTGGGTGGGATGCAGTGGTTGCTGGGTGGAGTCCTGCATCCCTTGGCTTGTGTCCAGCCCCTCATATGCACAAGCTGCAGGTGCATCTTATCACAGAGCCAGGGCTGGCTCCAAACACAGCCCTAGTGTGGGACTGGTATGAAACTGGGGAGGTCTGACGTGTTTCCCACCAAGGCATGGACCAGGAGGGAGAAGACCCCATGGCTGAGGGACAGGCCAGGTCTCTTCCACAGGGACAGACCACCAGGTCCTGTGTGTCAGCAAAACAGCCCAGCAGAGCCAGGCTGGCTGCCAAGACAGGGGCAGGAGGGACCCTTCCCACCCACTCCACTTCCTTCTTTCCCATCCCCACTGGCAGCCCCCAGCTCCAGCTGGGACCGCAGGAAAGGGATCCTACCTTTTGTTAACCTTCTCATCCTCCTCATCCTCAAGTTCATCGCCAGCACCTGCAGCCACTGTCAGGAGCTCGGGGCCTTGAAAACGCTCCAGGAAGGGGTCTGGCCTCTGCTGCTCCTCCTGCAGGCTCTTGTTGGCCCAGCTCCTGAGCACCAGCACCAGCTGGACTATCCTGGACAGGCCAGGGAGACAGACACAGGAGTTGTTAACAGAGCAAGGACAAAGCAAAAGCTTCAGAGTCATCGGGGAGCTACAGCTGAGAAGGAAACTCTTGCAGCTCCCTTCCAAGCACTAGAATGTCTTTTTTTACCCCTTTTAGTGATGATGTGGGACCAAAAAATACACAAGCAATAGAGACCACCCTGATAGAGTTCCACAACTTCTGCCCCAGGCCTGCTGTCATTGCCACAGGAATATGAGGAGTCTGTGGCTGAGGCAGAGGGAGGCTGCCTGCAGGGAAAGGAGCCTCTGAGCCCAGGGGGGTGAAGCCATCCCCTACCAAAACCCTCTCCATGGACACTGGGGCACAGAGAGCAGCATTCACAGACACTCATTCCTGCATCCCACGAATTCCACACAGCAGAAGGGGATCCTGACCCCACAGAAGGCCCCAGTGTCAAGGCCAGGCACGAAAGGCTCACCCCATGCCAGTGGCACACACAAGTACCTGGCCAAGGCTCCCTGGCCTTGGAAAGCGTGGTCAGCCCTCTGCTCCCCCCCATCCAGGCTGGCTCCTCTGTGCGGCTCTGAGCTGGTGTCATCCTGGGCTGAGCAGGTCCTGCAGTGGGGAAAAGGGGGATCACATCCACACTGTGCCACCTCGGCACTGCCACTGCCAGGCACACTGGAGGAACCTGGCAGCAGAGACTGGGCACCACAAACCCCGTGCCAGGCCTTTCCCTCCCCTGCCCAAACCTCAACCAAAGCAGGGACCAGCCTGACCTGCTGGTGCTGAGCCCTGTCCCCTCCGTGTCACCCTTGGGCTGGTGGTTGGCTGGGGAGCTGTGCAGACCATTGCTCCTCGCCAGCATCCTCAGGGTGAGGAGACCACAGGCACTCACCCTACCCCAGGGACCTGCAAAAAGCACAAAACAGCCACAGGAAAACACATGCAGGACACATCATGTGGTTTGAGCACAGAAATCCAGCACGGCGTGGGAAGAGAGGGTCAAATCCCACAGTGTGGGCCCACACCATGTTTCCCAGCACCTGCAGGAGGAGTGCTGCAGGGCATTTTGTTCTCTCCAAGAGATCCCACAGCTGCCTGGGGCCGTGAAAGATGCTCTCCTCATCGTCCAGGCTCCTCATTCATTGCCAGAGGAATCCCTATTTTTCCTTCTCTTCCCTGTTTTTTCCCATCTCTCCTTTGCCTTTCCTACTCTCCTTGCCTTCTGCTGCCTGGCCTTCCCCTTCCCATTCCTCTCCTCGTGTACTCCTCCTTTTCCCTGCCCTGCCTGCCCCTCCCTTGCCTTGCTTTTCCCAGTCCAACCCCTCCTTTACCTTGCTTTCCCCTCCCTTATCCTTCCTACCCCTCCTTTGCCTTGCTTTGGGTTGCCTCGCCTGGCTTCTCTTATCTTACCTTTTCTACCTCTTCCTTTCCTTGCCTTGCCTACCCCCTCTTTCCTACATCCCCCTTGCCTAACCTATCCCACTCCTGCCTAACCTAATCTACTCCACTCCTGCCTAACCTACGCCAGTCCTGCCTAACCTACCCCAGTCCTGCCTAACCTACCCCAGTCCTGCCTAACCTACCCCAGTCCTGCCTAACCTAACCCACTCCTGCCTAACCTAATCTACTCCACTCCTGCCTAACCTACGCCAGTCCTGCCTAACCTACCCCAGTCCTGCCTAACCTACCCCAGTCCTGCCTAACCTAACCTACCCCAGTCCTGCCTAACCTACCCCACTCCTGCCTAACCTAACCCATCCCACTCCTGCCTAACCTACCCCACTCCTGCCTAACCTAACCCATCCCACTCCTGCCTAACCCATCCCACTACTGCCTAACCTAACCTAACCTAACCTAACCTAACCTAACCTAACCTCCCCCGCTCCTGCCTAACCTGCCTTGCCTGCCCTCCCCTCCCTTCCCCACCTCCCCAGGGCAGCGGTGCCACTCCGAGAAGCCACCAGCGTCCACTTACAGCCGCGGCGTCCCCCGACTCCTTGCGGGCTGTGCCGCTGCCTCAGGCGGGCTGGCAGGGCTGGCTGGGGAGCATCCCTGCCCCAGGAGCCGGCCGGGCTGTCCCCGGAGCGCTGCGGCTTTGAGAGCAGCCGGGCAGGGCAGGCGGAGGTGGCTGGGCAGCAGGGGACAGCACACACACACACCGGGGTGGCTGTCACCGCCCATCCCCGGAGCATCCCCGCTGCCCTGAGCAGCAAGGCGCACTCCAGAGGAGCTGACAGCAGCCAGCCTTGTGTCTGGGGATGAAAGGGGAGGAGGGAAAGGTGTTGCTCGGGGATGCTCCATTTCCCTGTGCACGTGTTCCCTTCTCCCCCCACCCTCGGGGGCTGGAGGGAGCCCAGACAACTCCAGGACAGCTGGAGATCACAGCCCTCCCGAGCAGCTCTGTGCCCAGTGACCCCCAAATCTCCTGGCTGAAGGGTCGCTGTGCACCCAGGGACAGGCACCCCCAGATGGGCTCAGGTCCTGCCACACCAGGGGATGCTCCTGGGTTCCCCTCCCAGCCCCTGCCCTGGGGAAAAGCAAAGATGGTGATTGTCTCCCTGCTTCAGAGGCTGTGCCACAGCTACTGCTAGGATGGAAAACTGGAAAAAGTAAACACATTTTAACGCCCTCATGTCCACTTACCTCTTCTCCTGCTGGCAGAACAGGGGACCGAAAGTGCTGCTCTGGAGTCCCATCAAAGAGAGCTGCAGAGCCTGAAGGTGACCATGAAATGCACATTTCACCAATTTCTGCCCTCTTATTTTGTTCAGGAAGTCATTCTAATACCCAGTTAGCAAAAAAATCTGCATCCCCAAGGCAATAAGGAAGAGGTCAGTTTTTATCCTCTCCCTCCAGGATGTAACCATGTGCAGTGGCTGAGGCTGGATCCATCCCTGACATGGAGTCCTCCACCTTGTGCAGGGCTGATGTGAAAAGCACCAGCACCAGGAGCCTCTTTTATCTTTGCTATCAAAGGTTTACCTTCTACTCTCCCCTTCAAAGCCTTAAATTCCACTCGTGGTCTCACTGAGCACCCAGGCAGCAGGGAGCCCAAAGGAAGGAACAGAATTTCTCCGCCTTGGCTGGGGCTGCGGCTCCTGGGTGAGCACCCAGCAGCACAGGCTGTCACCCTGCTCTTGTCCCCACATCACAGACTGCAGGTGACAGCTCACCAGGAGCACTGGCAGCAGCATGTCCCCCTTCCAACTCTCTCTTTGCCGCCTGCCTGCAGCTGCCTCCAAAAGCAACACGGGAGCTCCAGGAGCTGCTCCCTCGAGCACCACGGTGCACAAAACACTTTATTTGCTGTGCACCTCATTGTGGAAGTGGCCCCTGGGGACACCCAGCTCTGCCACGTGTGCTGCCTTGGGACAAAGCAGCCAGGAGGAGGAGGAGGCAAGGAAGAGAAAAAAGGAAATACAAATATCACACTCCAACAGGGACAGCATTAACCAGAAGCTTTTTTACTCAAGATTCCCCCTCAGCCAGGGCAGCTGGGACTCAGACACCCACAGGTCACAGTCCTGCTGCCAAACCTTACCTGTTCCCACTTACTGCCACATCAGGATCAGACTCCACAGAAAAGAAACATGTCCAGAACACACAGAGTTTATTAAAATATGCATTTTGTGCTCCGTGTTTCCAGATTTACACCGGAATTTACACCTTACATAGAAGTCGTATCTTCCAGAACCTGCCAGGAACTAGCCCATGAGAACACATCCAGTTTGACCATCTCTCCTCCAAACACCTTCAAGCCACACTTTGAAGGTGGTGTGCCCTCCCAAAGTCATCCCTTCTCACCCTAAAATACAGCTTAAAATAAACCCCAAACACAAGCTTCCTCCAAAACACGTTAACACCTCTCCAAGGAGAGAAAGCAGACAATTTACCTCATTTCCTGGCACGACTCCCACCCCCTTATACATAACACTTGTGTAAGGTCCTCTGGTGACCCTGACCCCATCCCTGAGCCACAAGCCACAGGAGCCACCCATCCTGCACATCCCCCCTGGCACAGCACAGCACACCAAGCCCACCCCACCACCCTGGCTCTCGTCTGCAATAAATCCCAGCGCTCTCCTCAGCTCAGCAATCAGCCACAGGTTCAGACCTGCAATTACTTTGGGACAGTTATTTATTAATCACTGTCCAGCTGCCAGATTTACAGTCACGGACGCTTGATGCGGTGTCAAGCAGAAAACACCTGAGCACTGATGTCTGTAAATAAGCTACTGGGACATCTGGATGACATGTAGATCCAGCTATAATTAGGTATAGGTGACACACAGAGGTCCTGTTAAGCCTTGCCAAAACCTGCCCCCAGGGCCTGCATGCACAACTCCAGCAGATGTGCTGGATGAACCACCAGAAACATCTCAAAGTCACCTCAGAATCAAGTCTTACTAAACTCTAGAGAAGGAAACAAACAGAAGAGCTGTTGAACAGAGCTTGTTTACAGCTAAAGAGCATCTGGGTCAGGAATTTCCCTCACTCATGTTCTTTCACCACCACTGAAGTTTCAGCTTGGCAGCAAGACCTGGGAGAGACCCCTCCACACCCCTTTGCCACAGGAAGCCTAACAAATACCTATTTCCCCTCACCTGTTTGATGCTATCCCTGTTGATATGGGGTTTTATAATCCAGAGAGCCACCATGGGGAGGTTTCCCACGTAAATCTCTCTGGGAAAGAACCAAGCCCCTGGATAAGCCCAGATGTCAGCAAGGCTCTTACAGCCACTTTGGATCTGAGCATCTGCAAAGCTGCTGTGGCTGCAGGGATGGGAGCTCCCGACCCCTCCAGCTCCACTCCTGGAAGAGGGGCTGTGGCACAGGAGACCTGGCAGTGTCACCTCCACCAAACAGCAGCTGCACAAGGAAGAAAAGAAAACCCAGAGGAAGTTTAGAAACACTCAGTCACTCTACAGAAAATGAGGAATAGACCACAGCAGTCAGCTGAGAACTTTTAAAGGGGTCAGAGTTGAGATCTCCAAGGTGGGATGTGGCCAGGGGACCAGGCCCACCACAGGCTATGGCTGTAACAGGACCCCACGTCCACAAACACCCAACACCTCGGGTTTGCATCTCCTCTGGCAGCCTGAGGGCAGCTGCACAGAACAGACACCTCCTGTGTCAGCCACCACTCAGCTCTTTGCAGCAGCTTCTCACACCTTCACTGTCATCATGGCCTGAAGGACACAGATTCCTGAGGGCCCACAGTGCAAAAAGGAGTCCCAGTCAAGAAAAGAAGAGCTCCACTGCTGGCAAGTACACGAGAAATGCTCCTCTCCCTGCCCTCACCCACCGTGCCAGGGTGAGCAGGGGAGGCTGGGCACGGGCCATCATCTCCTCAGCCAGAGCCACGTGTTGAAGAGGCAGGCAGAGATCATCACCGAGTACACCAGGGCCTCCTTCTGTCTCCAGGCATGGCACTGCTCCTCCAGCACGCGCAGCCTCCCCGAGATCCTCGCCAGCTGCAAGGGAAGCAGTGGGGCACTGTCAGCACCCCAGAAGCGTGGGACAGGGATGGAAAAGATGGGAGCTGCTGCCTCCTTCAGGCCCTCCTTTTCTAAAGCAGCAGCTTTTCCCACCTTTGTGTGGGAGGAGCGGCAGCAGCACCTCAGGCCTGCTTCCCAAAAGGATTCTTCCCCTCAGAGAGCATCTGAGCCCCTCTCACTGCCACCAGAGGGGTCTGGCTGTGTCCTGCAGCCCTTCAGCCCCTCGGGGTAGGAGCTCGATGGATCAACACATGTGTAAGTCCTCTCTTGCCTCTCCTTAAGGCAGGACCAGTCTGACAGCACCAGCCCACCAGGACTGAGCAACTGCCCCTGGAGCCTCCTCACCCACCCCCTGTGGCTCTCCCAGAGAAGATTCACAGCCCTTCACCCCCATCTCACCTGCCTTCTCATCACTGCCACCTCCGTCACCCCGGCCTCCTCCAAGGCGCTCTCTGCAGCGAGGCCAGGCTCCTGGGAGCTGGGAAAGGAAAGCAGAGATGCAGGTGGACAAGCCCTGCTCGTGGGGTGCCTCCCCACAAATGCAGCGCTGCCACGGCCAGCTGAGCCACGCAGGGAGTGCCTCCCCAGGCTGTGCTGCAGCAGGAGAAAGCAAACAGCACCAGCACAGCACCCACAGATGAGCATCCACTCACCTGTTCTTAACCCCCAGCATGCACATTGGTACCCCTCCAGCATGCACCCAAAGTGATCAGGACAAACAGACAGCACGTGCCAAGACAGGCAACAAAAAACACATGCTTGTATTTCTTTAGAGGTGCAACAGAGAGAAAACATATCTACTAAGCCTCTGTAGTCACAGGAAATCACTGAGGGCTGGATAAAACATCTTTAGAGCCAGTCAGGTAAATAGGTACCACAGGACCAGTGCTGAAATGGAGGGGTGATCCCATTTACATCAGCAGGTGAGGAAGCTGCCATCAGCTGGAGGGAGATACCACTTTTTGCTCTTGCAGCAATTTTACCTGCAATTTGAAACATAAACAAGCAACCCAGACGTTCACCAGTTTGTTCCCTCCCTGGAAACACGGGGGCCCCCACTGGAACGAGCTGCTGCACTGGCAGAGGCAGCACAGACCGCTGATCTCCAGGGCAGTCCCTGGAGGCACAGCCTCACTGCAGGGGCCACACCACTGAGTCACAAAATAAAGCAGATCCACAGTGAGAAAAAGATAAATTCCTGACATCATAGGCTAGCCCAAAATCAGCTATTCTACAACCAAAACTCCAATGTGCATTCTAATAACTCACACAGGCACTCACTGATCCTGTAAGGGTTAACAAGCACCTAACCCCACTCCTTGGAGGCCCTGGGGAGGAGAGGGTGTTTATCCCTGTTTGCAACATGATGCTGATCTCACTGAAGACAAGCCAGAAGAGGATGATTTACTGAATCCCCGCCTGAAACTCCATTTGTGAGATAATACCTCCACAAAATGTAGCTGCAGTGTAAAATGACAGTCACAACAGAAAGAAAATGCAATTTTCCCCAGTAGAGAACCATGAAAAAAGGACACATCCTGCAGCTTTTGACTCAAAATCCCAGTTGATACAGGTGAACACCCTTTAAAGTAGAGACTGGAAATTGCCTTTTGGTGACTCATACCCTTCTAGAGGTCACTGTGAGCCAGATATCCCAGTCTCTGTCTGAGACCAGACTTGACTAAAATTTCAGGACAAACAAGTCAGCACAGTCTTTTTGTTTATTTCATTGTTGCACAGGGGTACAAAGCTGTCATACTGAAGGGATGTCTGAATCTGAAGGGATGTGAAATACTAGGAAGAGGTGTTTCAAAGGGAGATCAATACCTGGGGAGAAGCCCCAGAGTCACCCCACTGCATCACAGCAGCTCTGCAGGCTACCACGGCCTGAATGCCCCCCACTGCTGGAGGGAGGAGGGAGAAGGTCTTTTATAGCCACTAACCAGATCTCTTGGTCATTAAGAAATTAAAATGATGTTTGAAGACAGCCTCAGCCTACAGTTTTTAAGAGCAGAGACATCAGAGACATCACTCTGGATTATCAGCAAGCAGAAGCCAGCTGGGGAGGGAAGGCAGGATGTGATGGATGGTGGATGATGGATGCTGGTTCTCCTCCCTTTCTGCCTGAAGGCTTTGCTCAAGGAGAATGGGCAGTATTTACTTGTTGCTCCAGGTGCTCAGCAGCCTTAGAGCAGTGGGGACACCTTAAGGCTGCAAGGATGTCTTTGAACAAAGAGAATTTACTGCAGTGGCACAGATAAGGGTGGTGGAAGTGGTTCCTGCAGCACATCTGGAGGGACTGAGGCCACTGCACACCTGCTCCAGGGAGCACAAAGGGACACCACAACCTGGCCAGGGACACTGGCTGTGGGATGAGTTCAAGGAAAGGCTGATTAAGAGTGACCAAAACACAGCCAAAGCTGCTGGGAGCCTGCAGGAGAGGCTCTCAGGGACAGCACCTGGGACAGGCTGTTTGCTCTGGATTTTGATTCTCTTCACAAACCCCTCTCCAACAAGCTATGAAAGCACTAGAAAAATTAGTCCTTGCTTAGCAGCAAAGCCCCAGAATGCCACAGCAGCACAGGGTCACTCAGGGTGCCCAGGGGACTGGTGCTAAAGCTGAGCAGACTCAAGCCTGGCTGGGTTAGTGAGGTGCACCAAGGCCTGGCACCCAGAGCTGGCAGACAGGACAGGTGAGAAAGAAAGTCCAAGGCAGCCATGCAGGGCCATCCTGCAGCCCACAGCTTACAGAGCTCGTGCCTGGCTCATGCCTCAGCAAGGCACAGGCCAGTCCTTGCAGAGTGACAGAGAGCTGGCTCAGGACAAGCCAAAGTCACCTGGATGGTGCTGGGTCTCGCAGAGAGTCCTGGACTCGGTGGAAGAGCACCTGGCCCAGGAGGTACATGGTCTGGAAGATGTTCTGCATGGAGTAGATCCTGCCTGCCTCTGTGAGGAGGGGGAGTGGGGCACTGGGAGCAGGCAGGGGACACGAGTGCGGCCTGGGTACACACAGAATCACGCCTGTTACTCCCTGGTCTGGCACAACAGGGCACAGCCTGGCACCAGGCACTGCCCCTCATCCCTTCAGCAGCTCCAAGCATCTCTGGGCAACGCCACTGGCGCCCAGACCCCGATGGCAACAGCTGGGAGAACCCTCTCCAGCAGCCCCCAGACTCAGAGGCAGCCACCTGATTCCTGCAAAGCCAACCATGGCTGTGCCACGCTGCTCTCCTGCCACCCAGGACAGCTCTGGACTTCATGTGGAACAGCAGTCCCTGCTCCAGGACCAGCTCAGAGACAATGTCCCCACTGCAGAGACTCGAGCCCAAGGCCATGAGCTCGAGCCCATGGGCCTGGGCAACAGCACAGCTGCCTTCAAAGCTGCCCAGCACAAACATCTCTGGCACCAAAGGCCATGTTCCTCTCAAGGATGAGCAGGACTTGCCAGGCACTGCACTTCTCTGATGGATCCCCCCACGCCCCTGTCAGGACACCAACACCAGAGAGCCTCCAAACAGCCCAGTGAGAGAAGATGCTGCTCCCCACCCACCCTGGGTGACTCTGTGCCCGTGCTCACCCCTCATGGTGCTGTCCTGGGCTGTGCAAGGCCAGATGGGCACAGTCACTCGGGGTCCTGTCCCTCCGTGACCTGCTGCTGTGATGGCCCTGTGGGAACCAAACACAACCACGTTATCCTGGGGCTGAGCCCAGCCTGGTGCCCTGTGCACCTGAGTGCTCTCAGTCAGGGGTGCAGCACCACAGGAGCCCCAGCCTGGTGACCTGATGCTGGTGCAGGTGGGGAGACATGCTCAGAGCAGACAGAGCATCCCCAGCCTGCTGATCTGAACTCCAGCCAGATCAAAACCCCTGAACCTAACCCATCCAGGATCAGCTCTCAAATTTCAGGGAGGTTAAAGCACTTGAGGAGGCAGAACAGCAGCTCCAGCCTTTGGAGTTATTGCCTGCCCGTGCCTGGGACCTCTCTTTGAAAGAGTCTCACACAAGGTTAAAATGTGCTTTTGGCCATGACCCCAGAACCCTTTACACTGCTGTGATGAACCAACTCTGCCTCATGATGAAGTATGACTTCATCAAGAAGAAGAAAACAGGTGGAAAAAGGACTTAAAAAGTAGCAGCAGCAGCCAGTGGTGGGACTGCACCTACCTTAGCCTATCCCCTGCCCACAAAATGCAGCAAGAGATGTGGTTGGATCCAGGTCCCAGCACCCAGGTGTGCACTGGTTCTGGGTCAGAAAGAGATCCCAGCACCCCTACCCCTCCCTCCTAGGGCCTCCTGGAAGAAGAATCCTGGCTTGGGATGCTAACAGCCACCTGGAGAACCCCAAACTTGGGATTGCTCCCATTCCCCACCCCAGTCCCTGCCCGTACTGTACCGGTCGTTTGCGTCGCTGGGCGCTGGCTCTGCTGGCTGAGGGCAGGAAAGGGAGGTCCCCAGAGGGGTCTGGGGACACGTGCACCACAACAGGGGGGACCTTCCTTGGCTGGGTCAACAGGACTGGCCTCAAACTGGTGTCTGGTATCTCTACAGAAAGGAGAGAGAGAAGAATTAAGCCAACCTGAATGGCCTCAGGAGGGAGAAGAGAGATGCACCCACGTGGAAAGTCAAGCTTGTGTTTAGTGCCAGATGGACAAACAATCCCTGGGAATTCTGGACAGCCCAGAGAGGCAGAGCCACTCCTTCAGGACAGCAAGGTTTCAGAAGTGTCTGTCAAAGACAGGGCCAAATGTCCTGCATCCCAAAGCAGGGACCCTACCAAAGGCCGAGAGGGAACTGGAAGAGACATGGAGGGAGATGCCTCCACATTCTGCCCCTCACCTGGATTTGGAACTAAGGCCCCTCTGGACTGCTGTTGGTGACCTCTGCCCACCTCTTCCCAAGCCATCCACCATCCTGCCCTACATTCCTGGAGAAAAGTGCCTGCATTATCTGCCCCCATCCTCTCCTCCAGCAAAGCAGGTGAAAGGGGGGTTTATAAGGGGGTGCTGCTCCCTTGTAGTGCCTCACCAACCTTCAAAAGCAGGGCTTTACCTGCCAGAGAAATCCTATCGGGAATGTGCATCCGGAAGGATGCAGGGACATCCTCTGCCACTGTCCTCCTGTCCCCAGGGCTGCTGCTCTCTGCCACCTTCAGCCTGTTGGGAACCTGCATCCTTTGGTTGATGGCTTCTGTGAAGAGCAGGTCACAGCGGACGCGGTTCAGGTCCAGTCCCCAAAGCGGCCACATCTTTGCAGGTGTCCTCAGATGGGGTTTCACACAGAGGGAAAGCAAGTGGCAAACAGGAGTGGCACTTCCAAAGGTGACAGCAGGGGCAGCTCTTCTTGCACCTGCACAGGGCCAACACAACATGCTGTAAGACAGCTTAAACAAAAAGTGGCAAAACCAGCCCAGAAAAGAGACCCTGCAGGAGCTGTCTGGGACAAGGGGGTGTCCCACAGCACCCAGCTGGCAGGGACAAGGCTGCAAGTGTCCTGGGGAGCCACATATGAGCTGATCACCCACTGCCTCAACTGATAGCAAGGAAAGGGCTCAGCACACAGTTCAGTGTGCCCTAGAAACTCGTGAAAAAGTTATTTTCCATCCAGAAGTGACGTTTTTGGAGGGCTGGGATCACGTTTTTGTGTTCATACACACCTTTGAGGAAAAATGAGGTTTTCTAAAAGCAAAACAAATTTTTTTTGTTGGGCTAACACAGGAAAGGCTTTGGTGCTGTTTTTTTCCATTCACTGCAGTATCCCCAGGTCCATACCCCATTTTCCCGATGATCCAGCTCTCCTTGGGTGACCCACATCCAGCCAAGGATGGACTTTGCCCTGAGCAGAGCTGCCAGATGCTGAACCACCCTGCCAGAGGGGAAGGAAAACCACACAACCCTTCCTCAGCTTGGAGCAGAGCCCCCAGCTCGGCTTTCTCCAGGTGGGGACCCGCAGCAAGGAGGGACACAGCCCCCAGTTCTCACTGCTCCTGGGAGCAGCTGACAGCAGGACAGGCCATGGGACACAGACACTGCCTGGGGCTTGGCAGCTCTCAGGACACACAATGGCCCTGTGCCTCAGTTTCCCTTTTGCCAAGTCCCAGGGTTTTCAGAAGTGCTCAGGGGCCACAATGTCCCTAGGATTTCACCAAGCCACACAAGCAGAGGGCAATCAATGGACACTTTTGGGAGAGAAGCCCAAAAGTCATCTTCCTGGCTCCCAGCATATGCACTCTCTATTCTTTCCCAAAAAGCTGCAGCTGAGGAGAAAACCCCAACAAGCAAGAGGTGCTGAGGCTGGAAGACCCAAGCCTTACCCCAGTGCTACCCAGGCACTCCAAACATGCACATACAGCACCCCTGCACCCTCCTTGCTGTCAACTTTTGACCTCACCGTGCCCAAAAAGGTCCCTCTTTGCTTATAGGAAAAAATCCCCACCCTAAGAGGGGCCAGCAGCAGCCTGGGCTGCCCACCAGCCCCCTCACTGCTTCTCCTCAGGGCACTTTGGAACCCCTCAAACCCTTTAGGATTTCACCCAGGGTAGAGGAGCTGAAAGAAATCCCTGGGGAAGGATCATGGGACCTGTCCCCTGCAGCTGCCAGGCCTTGACACTGGGTACAGGAGGGTGGCAGAACCAGCTCTGCACCTGCCACAACCAGCACTTCCAGTGCTCACCTCGTGCTGCTCCCTCCTCCTCTGTCTTTAAAAACCTTTCCATCACACAGGGATTTGCCCAGCATCAGCAGTGGTGACTCCCAGCTTCCAGCCTTGCAGACACTGCATCCCTGTCCCTGCACTGGGTCCGTCCTGGAGGCACTGCTGGGGACCCCGAGGGACCCCACACCATCCCCATCACCCTGCCCAGACCCAACCCATGGGTCTCACAACACACACACACACACACACAGACACATTCCTGCTTCTCCCAAAACCACAAAGAAAGTGCATTTTTGAAGGCATCCCCCCTACTTGGAAACAGGACAGTAATTCCTGGGATGGTCCCAAAAAGAAACCTGCATCAGACCCCCAGCCAGGAGACCAGCAGGTTTCTCCTTCACATTTTTGGTGCTCCAGAGGAGAGAACACTCTGTGTTACATTCCCAGCTCTGAGAAGCTAGCATATATTAATAACAGAAAATCTGGAGAGGGCAGATCTGTTCATTTTCTAATCACCTGTGAAACCACTAAGGAACAGAGGGATGGGAGAGGGTGAGAAGCAGACTCTGAGACTAAGCTATTAAGAAAGGAAAAAAAAAAAAAAAAATCAGCTGTCAAAACTCGTAAGAACAAAATGCTTAAGTGGCTGGATTTCCTCCTTTAACTTTCTTTAGGGCTTTTTCGAGCTCTTGCCAAGCACCCCCCACTCGCCTGGAGAGGCTCAGCCTTTGCTTTGGCACTTCTCCTTGGATTTGCAGTGACAGGGAATTTCCGGCTCACTAAACCCGAGTAGGTTTAAATCCTGCAAGCCAGGAAAACCTGCCCCGGGGAGGGAAACTCCACAAGCTCCCTGTCTGTGTCCCGGTCCAGCCCAGGCCAAGGCAGGAGGGGAGCAGGGGGGTCCAGCAGCCCCGTTCGGGGGGGCAGCAGGAGGGAGCAATGTGGGTTTGCCCGCAGCTCTGCCCGCCCTGTCCCGGCAGGGAGAGGGGCAGCGGGAGGGAACGGCTCCCTCGGCCGGCTCGGGGGGAGCCCGATGGGACACACGGGAGGGGACCCGGCCGGGGAGGGCACAGGGGG